CGGGACAAAGGCTCCTGGTCTGATCTGGCCATGAGCACCAGGTGTTTATTCACTGCACAGCCTTCAGAGTCAGGCCACTGACACCAGGTCACATGACATGGTGTCATGTTTTTCTTTTCTTTTTTTTACTCAGGGCCTATGTGCTGTCCCTGTGTTTTTGTGCTCAGGCTGGTGCTTTACCACTTGAGCTGCTGCTCCACTTCTGGCTGTACTTTTGATAGCTCATCAGAGATAAGAATCACCTGGCCTTTCCTACTTGGTCTGACTTCTGATCTTGATCCTTAGATCTCAGTCTCCTTTTTAGCTGGGATGACTGCATGAGATCTGGGTATCCACTTAAAACACAGTTTGGTTAGTCTTTCAGTTAGTCATCCAGTTTATCTGGCAGGGATTACATAACCATGGTCCACATCTTGGACCCTGTTTGGTCTGAGGACCCTCAATTCATGAAGGAGAGTCTGGGGTCCTCCATGAACTACAGAGGGAGAATGCCAGACCTGCTTGGTATGTGCATTTTTAAGAGGAAAAGGCCTTGATGGAACAGTTATTGGGCACTGAGCACTGACCTTGGCCTTGGAAGTGAAGAAAGACTTGGGGAAGAGTTGGATGGGGAGGTGGGAGGTGATGAGGGGGGGACCCTCCTTCCTGTCTTTTATTGTTTGGAATCCAACTTCATTCTCAATCCATGGGGAACGAAGACCTGTGGGCACAGATCGAATCCAGTTGGGATCCCCCTTGGTGTGAATCAGAGAGAGAACCTCAATCAACCAATGGGTTCCTGGGGCAGAAAGAAAAGCAGAGGTCACTCATTTCTATCTGAATTCACAATATTATGTATACACACACACACACACACACACACACACACACACATGCATACACACACATAGATAATGGTAAAACATATGTAACATAGACCTTAGGGATATAAACTTTCTCAGGCATGCAATCTGATATGGATAAGCAGTGTTTAGTGTATTTGAATCATAGCTCACTCAGTGCCAGTATTTTGTCATCTAATAAGTCTCCACTGTCCATGACAACCGAATATTGATTTGCTTGCCACCTGCCCCATCATTCTCTTATCACACCAGGACTTGGGCTTTTCTGGGCCTTGTATGTGAGTGCAATAGTACACAGTCTGTTTGTTTGTTTTTGCAC